GTGACAACTCTGGACTCCCTAAAGATAAAAAAGTGAACTTAGTGTTGTTTTGTAGCCTGGTCAATTGTTTTTCTACACAGAGTAGTGACAGAGAGTATATTTTAGTGTCTCTGGGGTCACTAATTGAGGTCAGTTGATAGAGCAGCGCAACAAAGGGTGTGGGGCGGATAGGATGGTGGAACAACGAGAGTGGGACTCGCGCTCGCCAAGAGGCGTTGATAGGACACTGTTCCGTTTCAGTCAGTGTTCTGCCACAGCTCCACGAGCGCTCGCGTACTCGCGATTCATTGAAGCCGACTGAATCGCGAATCACCACTCTCAAATTTGACGAGCAGAATCCAGCCCTAGTATCGACAGCGAAGCGCGTCGCGTCTAGCCTAGGCCTTATCGAAACGAAGCGCGTCGCGTCTGGCGGGGCCTAGGCCTAGCTTTCTGCGGCTTAGCGCAATCAGAGAACTGGTCAAGGTTGCATTTGTAAACAATGCCTCTACAATTCTATACTCTTCTGGTCTACAGAAAAGGTTACACATGTTGATGAAAACAGGACAACAGATTTTAAAATTGAATTCTAGATCTAGGCCAAGTTATAAAATAATGTCTATCTAGCATAAAACCAAAACATGTCTTGATAATGTAGACCGAAAACTAGATCTAGAATCTACATCTAGATTATCTAGATCTAGATCTAGATCTAGATCTAGATTCTAGATCTAGATTCTAGATCTAGATATCTAGATCTAGATATCTAATTATCTAGTCGACAGTGTCAGTAATTACATAAGAAAAAAAGTCATCTAGACTCTAGATCTAGATTCTAGATCTATAGGTTTCCAGCATAATAAAAATATGCCTGCCTTGGCCTAAATACACGCGTTGATCTAGATAACTAGCTTACAACATAAGCAGTTTAATTTAAGATAGCCTAATCCTAATACATTTTTACTTATTTTACTAATTAGTTACATAGCCCTGCATGGGGTCTGTGGGTAGGGACGAGTTGGAGAGGAAAGAAAGAGAGCATGCAATAGCATATATCTAGATCTATGCCTATAGGCAATGGTGAGAAAAGGCAACAGACTGTAGAAATAGAAAACAGATTTCGTTTTGTGTAGCCTACGCTAGGCATATATGGATAAAAACAGGAATACAAAGCGACAGATCGAACTCTCCTGAGGCCTATATATATATATACATAAACATGTATAATGCATCTTTCATGGATTAATAGCATTTTACTGAAACTGGCATGTTTCAAACCTATTGAATGAGAGGCAAACACTATAACCCAGGCTCTAAACTCTATAGACCACGATCAGAGCCCCCAGAAAAACGTGTTTTATTCGCTAGCTATAGATCTAGATCTAGTAAGGTTTAACAATGTTTCGTCCTCCTGCCCATGCACTGGCATGACGTGACGAACTAAGGCTAATCGACTGCACTGTCGCCTGTGCTGTGAAAAAGTAGAGGAAGGAGAGTAGATCTAGTGGAGGCAAACATTATACATGTAATAGGTCTATGCTATGATAATAAGGCCCAAGGGTAGATCTAGATCTATCTAGATCTAGATCTGGTCCTAGGACTCCTAGTAGACCCACTGCATTAATTAGGCCCTTACTTCTAGACCTAGACTCTAGATCTAGATCTAGATTTAGTACTAATTAACCTGGACACTGATACTAGATCTACAATCTATTATCTAATTTAGATCTAGAGATCTAGTTATATCTATATCTATATCTAGAATCTAGATCTAGATATCTATATCTCGAGGATTCTAGGTCTAGAGTCTAGGTATTCTAGAACTAGACTCTAGATCTAGATGTAGATTTTTAGATCTAGATCTAGATGTAGATCTAGATCTAGATCTAGATCTAGTTAGGCCTACACAAGAGAAAAACGATATTAAGTATGGTTAATGAAAAAGTACATGTGCAAATATTTACATTTCAGGGTCCTTTGGAAAGCTAAATAATGCTAGGTCTGGTATTTATGCGATCTTGAATTGGCACGGACGCAGACTGCCGCAAAACACCACTTACACTTGCAGGTGACTTGCGACTGCCGACAGCCGCCATTAGCTTTGTTTACCGCGCCTCGTTTCACAATCAGCTGGTGACCTGGATACGCAAAAAGAGGCTTCGTTTCCGCTCTCTATAATTAAATACTCTCTGATATAATCTAGATCTTAGATGTAGATTCTAGATCTAGATCTAGACATGTTTTGGTTTTATGCTAGATCGACATTATTTTATAACTTGGCCTAGATCTAGAATTCAATTTTAAAATCTGTTGTCCTGTTTTCATCAACATGTGTAACCTTTTCTGTAGACTAGAAGAGTATAGAATTGTAGAGTCATTGTTTACAAATGCAACCATGGCCAGTTCTCTGATTGCGCTAGGCCTAAGCCGCAGAAAGCTAGGCCTAGGCCCCTCTAGACGCGACGCGCTTCGTTTCGAAAGGCCTAGGCCTCGCTAGGCCTAGGCTAGACGCGACGCGCTTCGCTGTCGATACCGCGCCTGGTTATTTTTAGCTCGCTTCTCAGCGGTCACGTTCGCAAATGCACTGTTGTCACGGACTGCGAGGCCTCGTTTCCTGTCTCTATATTTTAGTGTCTCTGGGGATATTCAGATCTCTGTTTCTTTGCACTTTTGCTATAAAACACCAAACGCTGAACATTTGAAAAAGTTCAGATTGCCTTCGTTATAATAGGATAAGTTGTTTGTTTAGCCGGTTATTTGGAGCTGGAGAATCGCCGTGGAAAGGGAAGATCCTCGCGGTCGGAATGCGAGGTCCCCCGGTTCAAAATTGACACCCAGGCATTCGAATGCTTTGCAGAAAGATTGATGATTAAATACCGTCTCTTCATTGACGGAGGACTATACAGATTTGAACATGGTTTCCCGTGGTTATTATTTTTTGCCTTTGGCGTTTAGATAAGAAAACCTTGAAAAAAAAGGGTCCAAGTTTTCAAAGAGCATTTTTAATACGAAATGGGTAAAATACCAACCAAAATTTGACATAGGTCTTTTAAAGACAAACCAAGAACTGAGAGAACATTTATCCATAGAAGAAAGCAATAAATTTCAAGCTTTGGAAAACATTACAAAATCGGAAGAACTATGGAGCAAAATGAAAGACTCAACAATGGAAGCCGTGGAACAAATTTTCCCCCGAAAGCTAAAAAAGCTAATAAAAAATGGATGACCCGGAACATATTAAAACGAATGGAAGAGAGAAGAAAGGCAAAATCTAATGTGGAAAAGTACATCTTAAACAGAAAAATAAAGAAAAAATGCAACGAAGCAAAAGAAACATGGGTAATGATCAGTGTTAACATATAGAGAAGAACCAAAACAAAGACAGCAAATACATGCATTCCAAAATCAAAGAGGTAAGTGGGATAAAAGGATGCTCAAATACAGGATGCATAAGATCAAAAGGAGGAGATTTTTTTTTTTTTTTTTTTTTTTAATG